AAGGTGCGGACCAAATGTTCACTATTAAGCAAAATAATATTTCAGTAACTTTTTCTGATTAGAAAAGGAGTACATGCATATTGAGGAAAATATGGGAAATCCAAAAAAAAAAGTAAAGGTCAAAATAGTCCCATAATCAGACTTCCTAGGGACAGTCTCTTAGAAACATTTTCGGTGGATTTCCTTACATTATTATTGTCTATGCATATATACTTTTCCATTCTTGGGAATAAATGATATACATATAGTTTTGAAACTTCTACGTGAGATGTATAATAAGCATTTCCCAATGTCACTGAAAAGTTGTTTAAAACAAGATATCTGTGACTACTTAGTATTCCATTATATGGCTGCACCACACTGACCATTCTCCCAAAGATCAAAATTAGGTTTATTAATTCATTCCACACATGCTTACTGAGCCGGGTTCTGGGGGTCCAGCCATGAACAAAGCAAAGGTCCCTATCCTCACAAACTTATGTCCATTTTTAAAATTATTCAGGGGCACCTGGGTGGCTCAGTCAGTTAAGCGTCTGCGTTCAGCTCAGGTCATGGTCCCAGGGTCCTGGGATCGAGCCCCGTGTCGGGCTCTCTGCTCAGCGGGAAGCCTGCTTCTCCCTCTGCCTCTGCCTCTCTCTGTCTCTCATGAATAAATAAATAAGATCTTTAAAAAAAAAAAAAAAAAAAATTTTTTTTAATTCTACTACTGGGAGAAAATCTTTGTCAAACTCTGATTATGTTCTTTGTTCCGTGTGTAGTGGCTTTAGAGACTCCCCACAGCAGCTGAGGGGGGGCCGGCAACTGGACACTTCAAACTAGCGGAGGAAAGGGGGACCTGCGGTACAGCCTTTGAGAAGGTACTGGGAGCGTGCCATCTGGAAGGGGCACCTGCATCAGGAGGAGCTCGGGGACTGGAACTGGGGCCCAGCACTGCCACATCCTTCCTCTCTTCTCTGGTCTTTACTTGCTCCCACTTGGCCTCCTTTCTAGTAGAAGAATCTTTGGCAGGCAGCAGGAAAGGTGGGAGCTTCTGAATGCTGTCGGCTCCTCTGAGGGAGCAGGGCTCCCCATAGTCCATTTGGAAGCCTGCAGGTCCCCTTGCTTCCCCTGGTCTCTGGCTCTGGCCTGCAAACACAAGATTGGGGTGGGGCGGGGTGCGGTGTCTCACTCCTTCCGCACAACCATCCATCCGTGACCTGGTGGCCGTGGCATCTCCTGCTTTGGCGTCCAGGAGTAGAGGTGAGATGTGAGGAGGATTCCGGGGCCCAGGGAGGGAGGCCATGTTGGTGGCCCCTGTGCTGACTTGACCACCGGCTGGGCCAGGCCACGTGAGAGAGGGCGCAGCCAAGGCACGTGGCCCTCCTCACAGATCCTGGACAGGTGAGCCACTGGCCAGAAACTGGTTCTTTTTTTGTGGTACTTGGAGATCTATCATTTTTTTTTCATCTCCAAAGTTTAAAGTTTATATGTACAAAGTTTTATTCTGTTTTAATGATATGCACCCCCATTTCCTTCTCTTGTAATGACTTGCTGACTCTAAAGTCCTGCCAGGGTTCCCTTGGCGAGATGCAGGGAGGAAAGCGCCCTCCTCCCCCAGCTACTTAGGACGCCCCCCCAGGAGGGCCCCAGCCTGGTGCTGCCAACCGGCCGGGGACACAGGCTCTCCATGTCCGGCACCTGTGTCCTCTCCATTTTACTCCATCTGATCAGGCAGAGAGAAGCCCTGAAGGAAAATGGGGAAGCTCACCAAGCTTCTGGGACTGCCCACCTTCATCCCCCCCCCGCCCTCCTCCATCCTCCCCCTCCTCTCCTGGTCAGTTAGGTCAACTGTTGCTGCCCTTCCCCCTCCTCCCTCCCCACAGTCCCACTCCTCCCTCTCCTACCTTCCCAGACAAAGTGGATAATGCATCATTTCTGCCTCCACTTCTCCGGTCCTTCACCCCCCAGGGCCTCCGGGCCTCCTTTCTGATCTAATGAGCTGGCTCATCTGGTCTAACAATGGACAGATCCAGGGAATGAGGTGCTTTCAGCTAATCCTAAGGCAAGTCCCCTTGACCCCAGTCCGTCCTAACTTAGGGACCTCTCCAGGGAGGCACATTTTGCATGGGTTTTTCTTTTTCTTTCTTTCTTTCTTTTTTTTTAAATCACACAAATAACCCATGTTGATTGTAGAAAAAATTTAAATTTGAGCAAATGGAAAAATGAACATTGCTTTTAATCCCACCACCTAAAGAGATCCAGTGTGACTCTTTGGAATATAACTCGACACTTCTTTGTTCTGTAAGTCAGGCACACCTTAAACCTGATTTTTTTTAAAAGATTTTATTTATTTGAGCGAGAGAGAAAGAGCACGAGCAGGGGGAGAGGGGCAGAGGCAGAGGGAGAAGCAGACTCCCTGCTGAGCAAGGAACCCAATGTGGGACTCGATCCCAGGACCCTGAGATTATGACTTCAACCGAAGGCAGACACTTAACAGACTGAGCCACCCAGGTGCCCTTAAACCTGATTTTCTTTTTTTTTAAGATTTTATTTATTTATTTGACAGAGAGACACAGCCAGAGAGGGAATACAAGCAGGGGGAGTGGGAAAGGGAGAAGCAGGCTTCCCGCTGAGCAGGGAGCCCGATGCGGGGCTTGATCCCAGGACCTGGAATCATGACCTGAGCCGAAGGCAGACGCTTAAAGACTGAGCCACCCAGGTGCCCCTAAACCTGATTTTTAAAACAAGTATGTGTTCATGTTGTATGTGAACAGGTCAGGTTGTATATAAAGGAGACATGCAAAAACCATAGGGATTATGGGCAATTTTCAAGTCATTCAAAATTACCTTTAATGCTGTTACTTTGTCTTTTAAGTGAAAACATAATTACACATCACTTCTAATGGGCTTTGGCGGACTGTCTTCGTTTCTTCTGCTGCCATAAAAATGTCCTGCAAATTTTGCATCACAGAACAAATGTGTTACCTCACGTGTTGCAGGTCACAAGTGGTCAGTGGGTCCAGCTGGTTTCTCTGCTCTGGGTCCCACAGGCCACATCAAGGTGGCAGCTGATCCGAGTCCTTCTCTAGAGGCTCTGGGGAAGATTTGGCACCAAGACTCATTCAGGGGGCTGGCAGAATTTGGCTCCGTGTGGCTGTAGGAATGCGGTCCCCTTTCCTTGCTGGCTGCCAGCCAGGGGTTGTTCTCAGCTTCTCAAAGGCTCTCACATTCCCGGGCTCACAGTCCCCTTCATCTGTAAACCAGTAACGGCAGGTCCGGTCCTTTTCCTGCTTCAAATCTTTCTGGCCTCCTCTTCTGCCTCTGTTGGTTCGCATCCTCCTGGGAGCTCCGGGTGTGATCTCAAGCCAGCGCCCAGACACAGTGGACAGGGAGGGATGGAGGAAAGAGGCAGGCCACTCCAGATGGGTTGAAGGAGCTCAGGGAACCGACCTACGAGCCTTGTCTTGGGGGCTGCGAGAAGGTGGATCCCTGCGTCCACTGGCCACATCCTAACTGTTCATAGAGAGGCCTCAGCGGGGGGGGTGGGGGGGGGTCGGTCTGATGGTCCCAGCACCACATCACTGTCTCAAGGCTGTCCTGGGGGCAGCTTCTGGGCAAGGTGACTGGAACATTCCAAAGGCAGGAGAGGGGATGAGGAGCTTCCCTTGCCCGGGTCCAGCTCACGGGTCAACTGGCGGTCACATCTTCTCATTGACCTTCCCTAAAGCCTCATCTCTGTGCCTCTAGCCAGACAAAGTTCTCTACTTTGAAGGAATCCTGTGATTAGATTGTGTGTACTTTGTTAATCCAAGATCGTCTCCTTATTTTGAGGTCTGTAACCTTAATCACATCTGCAAAATCCCCTTTGAAATATAAAATGACAGAGTCACAGGCTCCAAGGATTGGGAGGCATGGATATATTGGGGAAAACATTCTATGTACCACACCATCTCCCTGTGCTGAAGAACACATCCTTATATTTTGAAATAAGGCGGATCTCCTGGACTTTTTAGCTCACAGGGGATGATGGGAGCAGGCCCATCCTTGCCACTGATTGAATGGTCTGGCTGGGAGTCTGCAGATAGGTCACTGAGTAGCTGGTGGAACTCTTTAGAAGGTATGGATACTCTTCTTGTAAAGAAAACAACGGTCTGCCCTGGTCCTCACAGCATCCCACGTGGAAGGGCTTCATTCAGATGTCTGATGGAGGTGATCTAGGCCTTTCTGTCCAAGCCAAGTCCTCTCCCCTGCCTCCAGCCATATGCTTGCCACGTTCTCAGATCCTGGCTGTCCAGAGACTGGCTCCATTTACCCCTCCACTAGTCCGTTGTTATTAATGAGCTTTGTGGGTGAAAACAGAGCCCAAGAACTTCAACAGCCAGGCATAAGGAAACCCAGCTGCCTAGAAAGGTTACATTAGGGCACTGCCAGGTGTGGCCGCTTCCAGATGACCTGGTGGCTAACGCCCATGTCATCAACAGAACACGCTTACGTGGGGGGATGGGGGGAGCACAGTGGGAAGGAGTGTTATAACCCATGCCTCAGTGTAGAGATTCAACAGCTTTGTATCGCCCTGCCTCGATTTCCTCATCTGGAAAATGGGAATCATAATACCTACCTTAAGGAATTTGTTGCAATAATTAAGTGATGTAAGGTATACAAAATTGCCTGGTCCAGCGCCCTGGCTTACAGTGAGTGCTCAATAAATGTTAGGTTGCTTGCCACACCACTGTCACCCCATGTCTGTCCCCATAAACACTGCCAGGGGGAAAGTGTTTTCTAAAGAGGTGGCCCATGTGACTGATTGTTTATGATACCGGTTTTGGAGTGAGAGCTAGGGGACAATATAAGTATTAGAAATGAAAGCTTAATCCAAACCTAGTTATTGCAGTGTTTGGCACCCCCAGAGACCGGGGGTCTTGGTCTCCCCATCTCTTCACATCATTATGAGATCTCATCCCCATCATCACTCCCTTCTCTCTGGTATAAAGGGTACCAGAAACGAAATGCAGAGACACAGAGCAAACCGTCACTTTATTTTGGCATATTATCTACACTCAACTGTTTTGGCTACGTTTTTTAAAAAGTAAATACATTTGGGTTCTGGTGGTAAAGCTTCTAAAACAGTGGGGGAAATAACCTAACTACACACAGGAAAAGCTGGGTCTGCAGGGGAGCCGGTGAAGTTTGGGCTCTCTGACCCCCAGGGTAATGACTCAGCTGACTCCCACCTCCTCTCTTTTAAGAGGAAATGGTGGCCCAAAGGCTTCCCCATTGGCTTGAGGTCACAGTTGTGACCCTGTTTGATCCAGAAACCAAGTACCCCAGTTGGAAGCCCATCGTCCTCCCTCCTAGCAATCTCTCAAGGGAGTGGGGACCCAAGCATGTTTACAAGAGTCCAGAATGGGTCAACGTTTTGGGGAAGGGGTGTTCTTTTTTTTACCTCCTCCCTACCTAGGGGAAAGTGGGGGATTTAAAAAATTTTTGTTTTAATTCCCATCATGCAGTAGAGTAAATCAGTCTGTTTCCCCAGCTCACATCATAGGGCATGTTGTCCATACTCAGCTGAGAGTTTGCCATAGAGAGGCTCCCCGCGTGCAGTCTGCCCATGCCCGGCTGTGTTCCTTAACAAGGAGGCTGGGATTTCCTTCTAGAGCTCAGCAATCTGAGCCGCATTAGTTACTCACCTAAGTGCTTAGGGTGGGGGTGATGCACAGGAGGACAAGAAAAGGAAGAACGTGCAGGAAAAGTAAAACAGGGGCGCTGAGTGCGGCCAGGGGTCACTTGCTAAGGAGGAAATTAACACCTATGTCCAGACCTGCTTCTGTGCACCTGTCCAGGGCGGCGCCGCGGTGGCCACGCCCCACACCTAAGGCTCCAGCTTCCGGGGCACCGGCGCCCCGTCCCAGGAGCAGCTACAGCTCTGCACCCTCATGTTGGGCAGGCTGACCACCTGGGGCCTGGGCCTGCCTTCCTCCTCCACGCGGACGATCATGGGCAGCGAGGCCGTTTCCGAGGCGATGCACTGCCGAGGCCCCAGAAGCGGCCACTTGAAGGGCAGGGGCTGCCGGCAGGCGCCCACGCACTCGTAGGCCAGGAAGCCGGGGGGCTCCAGGACCCAGTTCTCAGCCCACTTCATCCCCTGCAGGTCGATGTACATCTCCTGGCGGCAGCAGCGGGGGGCCTCCGACCCAGGCACCTCGGGGTCACAATCGCCCTGAGCTCTGCGCGGGCAAGGAGAAGCAGAGGTCAGCGGGGAGGGCCCGGGGCGGGGGAGCCGGGAGGGGCATCTGGGAGGAGCTTTGCCACCCAGCGCTCATTATGTTCAAAAGGATAAGGACGGGTCACTACCAACAACCAAACGGTACATCACGAGAGCCCTTAGTCCTGAGACTGAAAGGGACTCTCCTGCGGGCATTCACTCCCATGGCACCCTGAAAAGTCCCACTCGGACTGAGCTGGCCTTGGGAGTGGGGTCCCCCCGTGCGGCCCGGGCGCCTACCCGTAGGCCCCCAGGTCCAGCGTGTGCAGCTCCAGCTGGGGCTCGCCCTGCCTGGCGCCCGCCGGCCCCTGGAAGGCAAAGCGCACCAGCTTGTGGGCGCCCGCGGCCCGCGGGCCCAGGTGCTCCGTCTGCACCGTCACCTGCAGGAGCAGGGGCTGCCGAGGCCGGCTCAGCTGCTGCCAGAAGGTCACGGCCTCGGTCACGTCGAAGGCCTTCCAGCCGCTGTCGTGGAGGGACACCAGCCTGCGACGGGGCGGCGCGGGGACGGGGGCCTGAGCTGGGGGCTGCGGGTTCACCCTGGGGAGCCCTCCTGCCCCCACGCCCGCGCTGGGACCCCCGCCCGTGCCCCTCTCCTCCCCGCCCCCGCGCTGGGACCCCCGGCCCGCGCCCCTCCCCTCTCCTCCTCCCATCTCCTCCCCCCGCGCTGGGACCCCGCCCCCTCCCCCCACTCTAGGACACCTACTTCCCTGCCCCCCACCCCCCGTGCTGGGACCCCCGCCCCTCCCCTCTCCTCCTCCCGTCTCCTCCCCCCGTGCTGGGACTCCCGCCTCCCCTCCCCCCAGCTAGGAACCCCCCCTCCCCCCCTCCCCTCGGCATCCCTCCTCCCCCGCCCCCTCCCCGCTTGCAGCCCCCACCTGGAGTCCACCAGGGAGGTGCGGTTGGAGCTGTCCTCGCGGACGTGCAGCCACTCGACGGTGACGCGGGCGCGGGCGCTGTGCGGGGACAGCCGCTCGAGCCTACGGAGCGCGGCCCTGGGCACCGGCTCCTGGAAGAGGCGCAGCACGGCCCGCACCAGCTCGCTGTTGGGGGGCAGCCGCCGCTCCATGCTGAACACCAGCAGGTGCGTGGAGGCCTCCGACGCCAGCCACCTGCCCACCACCTCTGGGGACAGGAGCAGGGTCAGGAGGCCTGTGCAGCACCAGGGCGGCTGCGAGGGGGCTGGGCCCCCCGCCAGTGAACAGCATTTCCCCAGCAGTCCCCAGGGAGATGCCAGGGAGAATGTGGGGGCTGGGGCTGCCCCTCAAGTGCACAGACATGCACAGACATTCTTTTCTGTTTGTTTGAACATTTTACTTCTAAGTAATCTCTACGTAGGCCCAGCGGGGGCTCCAACTCACAAACCCAAGATCAAGAGTCACACCCTCCACCTGCTGAGCCAGCCAGGCCCCCAGACCTGTAGCCTTCTTTGGGCAAAGGGCACTGCAAAACGGGGTGGGGGGGGAGGTGGGCAATGGAGGGGGGGCAGAGAGCCCTGCCATGGAGACCTCTGGTGGCCAGCTGAGTGTCCTAAGAAGCAGAGCAAGAGCCTTGAATTCCTCCCATCTCCCTCCCATGCCCGGGGAGATGTCCCCAAGAGGAGTCCAGGGCCCGTGAGCAGCTTTAGCGGGGCTACCGAGTCCGGAGGCCAACGGTGGGACGTGTTCCACACCCTCCCCACACGCCCTGTGTCCCTAACCCCTGAGCTCCCGGTTGGCACCCCGACAAGGAGCGGGGCGTAGCCGCAGGGAGGCCTCACCTCGGAATTTCTGGCTGAACCTCTTCCCTCGAGAGCGGGCACCGTGGCTGCGCTGCAACAGGGCCACGTACTGGGCTGTCACGTGGGCAGGGGTGACCAGCCTGTCACCGTCGCCCCCGTCTAGGACGGGCACCTGGCTGAGGTGCAGCTGCCGCAGCAGGCTGCCCCGGATCTGCTCCCCGCTCAAGGCGGCCCCGGGGCCGGGGAAGGGCAGCGCCCAAAGAGCCCAGCACAGCCACAGTGGCCGCATGGGGCCGCGCACAAGCCCGAGCCGCGGAGGCGACAGACGTGTCCCCGGGGGCGGCTCCGGGAGGGTCCTGGCTGGCTGTGCTTAGGGTCAGGCTGGGTCGGCTTTATAGCCAGCCCTGGGCAGGGCCTGGGGGTGGGGGGAGCCAGGCCACACCCCTCGGACCTCCTGGGAGCTCAGCAGCCAGGCAGGTCCAGGAGCCTGGAGGAGGGGGCTGTCTAGAACGGGCACAGAGGCCTGTCTGGATGCCACACCAGCCCGGGGCCTCTGGCCATTGCTGTCTGGGCAGCTCAGGGATGATTTCAGTGCCTGTTGAATTTCCCGGGCCCTACCCCGGTCCCAGCCTATGAAAAAGTGGGCCTATTCTGTAAGAAAGAGAATCCTATCTGGCAACTGTTGAAATCTCTTTCCTGGAGGCCAGTCTGGGTCTCCGTGTGTTCATCAGGAAGGAAGGAGGGCGAGGACTCTGCATTCCTGCCTGCTCTGGGCCAGGCCCCATTCAGCGAGCTCCCACAGAAGCCCGCAACCCGTCTTCCCCCCTTCTCTGTTCCTGCGGGCCCCCTCCTGCTGCTCTCCACAGGCCCTCGGAAGACTGTGTGCTGTCCCTGACTGAGGAAGCTTCCGCGCTCAGGTCCGGCTCTCCGGGGGTGCCACAAAGGACAACTTTGCAAGCGTCTTTGCAGTCCCACAGCCGAGGCCCGTCAGGCTGTGCCAGCCACTCTGGGAGTGCTCCACGCCCCGAGTCCGGCCGTGGACTCATACCGGTGCTCAGGGGGACCCGGGTCAAGGGACAGGGACCTGGAAGGCGAGGCCATAGCTGCCCAGAGTCATGTCCTGTCCAAAGCCTCAGGTGGGGAGCACACGGGAGTGGGAGCCTCCCGGGGCCTCCCAAACACAGGTTTAGACTGGCTGGGTGCAAATATGGGGTCTGTGTGCCTTGCTGGCTGTTGGACCTTCTAGCAAGTTCCTCAAGGCCTTAGTGACTCAGTTTCTCCCTCTGAAGGAGAGGTGGTAATAATCGGGTCTCCTTCACAGGGCTAGTCTGGAGAGCAAATGCATTAGCACATGGAGGAGGCGCATCCCAGAGCCTGGTCTACAGTAAGTGCACAATAACGGTTTGCCCCCCTTATTACCTGTGGCCTTTCTAACAATGGCCCCAACAAGAACAATCATTTCTAGAGTGCTCACCGCATGCCAGGCACTGTTCTCAGCTCTGAGCAGGTATTTGCAACAACAGAGGAGGCAGGTGTCCGCATGCACCTTCCAGATGCAAAGTCAGAATACCGCTCAGGGAAGGAGCAATGCAGAGGGAGGGAGGAGCTCACGTCTCCTGTGGTCTGAACCCCCCCTGCACCGCAGGACCCCACGGGCTTCCTGCTCTCTCTGGGCCAAGCGCGGCCTCTGCCGGGGAGCAGAGCTGCGGCTTTTCTTTGCAAGTGATCAGCAGGAACTTACTTGATGCAAACATTTGGGCCTTAAGTCAAGCCAAAAGGTGCAGAGTGTCACATTCGCAGGCGACCCAGGACCCGTGGCCCTTAGTCCCTGGAAGCTATCCTGAGCGGCTGTTCCATAAATATGCAAGAGTCCACTTACAGAGAGGAAGCCCGGTGGCTTATCACGGGCCAGGGTGGTGCCAAGGAAGTAACACCTGGGCTGCCCCGCGCAGGCCAGGGACCTCCTCCCCAGGCCCCCATCGTCTAGGCCCCAGGAGCCCCCTGGGGGCTGGAAGTTCACAGTGAGGCCGTGTGGCCCCCTGTGTTGGTTTCCACAGGGACCTGCTGTCCCAGGGCTGGGGGAGGTCAGGACCCCGGTGCTGCTACTCCCCGGCCGACCGGGCACAAGGACATGAGGCTCTCCCCCTGACCCCAGGAGACCCCTCAGGGCTGAGGACCACTGGGAATCCTCAGTGTCCCGAGCCCCTTTTGCCCCTGGGGTCACCGACCAGTTACACTGAAACTTCACTTTCCCAAGAAGAAAGTCAATGGGCAAGACCATCCTCTGCTGGATTCCCGCCTCCCCCGGGCCTGTCACTGGGCTCCCGGGGTGGCCTCCCAGCACAGAGACGACTCTAGAGCTTTGTCCTCAGTGGGAACTGAAACAACCAGCCAACACCCAGCATCTCTGACTGAGGAATGGGCTTCGGGAACCCGGTGCTCGCGGGGCCCCTCGGGGCCTGTGGGCACGTGGGCAGGTGGTCCACAGTTGGGAAACAGAACGCTTCCAGATCCTGGGGACCTCCCTTAGGCGGGGAGAGCCTGGGAGCATTTGGCAAACCCCAGAGGGTTTGCCCAGCAAGGGGCCGCCTGCTCCACTCCCCCGCTATGTTGTAGACTCAGGGAGCTGAGAGCCAACATGGCCTGTCCAGGCCAATCTGCCCCCCACCCCCCACTGCCCCCATTTCTAAAGCCAAGAAGAGCGAAGCTCAGAGAGGTGACCCTTGCCCAAGCTCCCACAGTTTCTGATGGCTGCCGGCAGAAAGCCCAGCCTTCGATTCCTAGGCCCGAATTCCTTCCACACCCAGAAGCTCTTTCCAGGGCACAGTTCTGCCTGACCTCTGAAGCGGGCAGGGCGCCCCCCCACTGGCCCCAGACAAGCTGGGGACTCAGTTGGGTCGGGCCTGGGCTGGGCAAGGGCCACGGAGAAGCAGACAGACAGAGGACAAATCCCCTGACTCCCTGGACACAGGCTTTTAGTCCTGAATGTGGATTCCAGGCCGACTGAAGTTTTGCTGGGGAAATAAAATAATTGGGCAATTAGCTAGTGGCCAAAAGAAAAACACAAATGTGGATTGGGACACTTTTTACCAGGGGCTCATTAGCCAGCAGGAGGGAGGGCCGCGGCCTTTGTGACACAGAGCTTGGGATGCAGGCCCAGAGAATGTGCGTCTCCGGGCGGTCGGTCTGGCCTGGACGGTGGGCCCAGGGTGAGCTCCAAGGGCGGGAAAACAACAAAATCGCCCCTACTGACCTGTGGGAGGGAAGACTACTACTAAAGCTGTCTAGATCCGCCCTCTCTGCCCCTGGCTTTGTAAGGCGGAAGAAAGCCATACCATTTACCAACCTGTATTGCTGGGGATTTTAAAGTTTTGCAAAGACTTTTTTTTTTTTTTTAACTAGGGAATGGTAGAATGAGGTGGGGGGTTTTTTTTGTTGTTGTTTAATTCCAGTATAGTTAACACACAGTGTTCTATTCGCTTCAGGTGTATGTAGAGACTTTTATCTTCCAGAGATATGTTGGGATGCTGGGAGTAGTGACGGTCTGAATGCCGTACAAAGAATGCAAACACCTTTGAACACCATGGGTCTGAACTGCATCGGTCCAATTATACACAGATTTTTTTTTTCAATAGATACAGTCCTGGGCTATAAGTGTATTTTCTCTTCCTTATGATTTTCCTTTTTTTTTTTTTTTAAGATTTATTTATTTAGAGAGAGCGAGCACAAGCATGTGGGAAGGGGGCAGACAGAGAGAGAGAAGCTGACTCCCCACTGAGGGCAGAGCCCCACATGGGACTCGATCCCACTACTCTGAGATCATGACCTGAAATCAAGAGTCAGATGCTCAACCAACTGAGCCACCCAGGCGCCCCTTCCTTATGATGTTCTTAATGACATTTTCTTTTCTCTAGCTTATTGTAAGAATACAGCATATAATACATAGAACATACAAACTACGTGTTAATCAACTTCAGCTTATTAGTCAGGCTTCTGGTCAAGTATTGAGGTTTTAGGGGAGTCGAAAGTCATACACAGATTTTTGATGGCACGGGGGTTCAAGGGTCAGCTGTACCTTGAGCTCACACTGGGTCTGTTGCACACGTATACGTTAGGACCCAGGACACTTGAACCAAAGTCTCCTCCTACCGAAGTGGCCCTTAGAGAGCCCAACCTTCCAGCTCGCTCGGTCCTCCCGGTGCAGGACGCCTTGGATCCTGCAGTGGCCCGGTCCTGTCACTCCGCACAGCACAGCTGTGTTGGACATGCAAGCCAGCCTGAGCTTTGAGGGTGGGCTCCTGCTCTGCACCTGCAGGGAGCCCCACACAGCTCTCCCACGACCCCTGTTCCGGCATCCCACCTTCTCCCAGGCTGGGTTTGTTCTTTGGGACAGTCCCCAGGTGTGGTGACTTCTGCCTGGAACCACCCAGGAACCTGTCTGTCCACAGACGGCCGGACCCCGGGCCACCGGGCACACCATCCAGAATCTGCCCGAAGCAGGGGGAGGCCAGCTGCGTCTGCAGCAGCAGGCCTGAGAGGGAAAAACGTCCGTCCTGTCATGAAGGTGATGGCGATCTGGCCTGTTCCAGATGATTCCTCAGCTTCCTGATTGCCTCAGAGAGGAAAGAAAGGGCCCAGGAAAAAAAAGGAAAAGAATTTCTTCCTGAGGTCTTTTTTGGGTTCTCCCTGAACGTCTAAGAGTAAGAACAGATGAACAGAAAGGTTTTTTCTCTCCCTAAATGCTCCAAACAGAATCATGATATGCAAATGAAGTTTCATATTTAACATCTAAAGTTAACATCATGTCGGTCAACATTTCCCTCTAAACTTCTGTTACTTCGGGGCGCCTGGGTGGCATGGTCGGTTGAGCATCTGACTCTTGGTTTTAGCTCAGGTCAGGATCTCAGGGTCATGGGATCGAGCCCCGCATCGGGCTCCACGCTCCATGCCACACGCTGGCCTCTCGCAGAACAGCCCCGGCCGGCCAGCTGTGGGCTCGTTCTTCTCTCTCTTTATCTTTGAGAGATTCTCATCTTTCAAGTCGGGCATAAATTTCCCTTCCTCCGTGAAAACCCCCCCCCGGTGCTCTAGTCACCCTTGTCTCTCCCCGCCCGGTGCATCCCTCCGTTCTCCGGATGCCCTTGATCCCTCACGGCAACAGCGGATGGCCCTCCGTCTCGGCGCTGCGGACACAGATACCCCAGCAGAGCAGCAACTCAGCAAGGACACTCTCTCGTTGGGACCTGCAAGCAACCGGGGCTCAAACTGTATATGCTGGGTGCGGGGGAGGGGAGGAAGGGAAGTGAGAATGGTGGATGGATGAGTTCTTTTTTGCTAAAAAGCCTGAAGGGGGGAATTAGAGACTCAAGATCTTAGTCCAGATTAGGTTAC